TCAGCCTAATCAAATATTCAGGAAAATATCTTAAACCACTGTTTCATGAGGAAGATGTGACGCGTGTTTCTTGATATGATTAGAAGCAAAGTAGTTTGAAAATAGTTAACAGTAGGTTTGTAACGTTCAAAATGAATATGTCGTTTCAGCTTGTAAACTGGACTATTTTTTGATTTTTTAGCCAACTTAATATTGAAATGAATTTTTTATTGCTCTGGAATTATTTTAAGGGTTAGCAAAAAAGGAATACATTTGCCTAATTCGTTGAGAAAACCTATTAATTTTGCAACACAAATCATGCTTTTGAAGTTTTGATACATGCATTTTTGCAAAACACTCAAACATTTTATGCGTGAGTGTTTTACTCAGTGAAAGGTTATGGCGCTCGTTTTTGCTCTTTGATAATGATCGGTGCTCTTTTTATTTATAACCATAAAGGGGAAGTGCTTATACAGCGCTTTTTCCGTGATGAGGTCCCGAGAACTTCAGTTGATGTGTTTCGTGTGCACGTTATACATTCCAGACATCAGGTGTGTTGAATTGCCCCTTTAGACATTATGATAGTGTAATGATTCACTCACTTATTTTAATTTTAGGAGAGTTCAGCGTCCTTCTAAGTTCTTTTTTTGAATAAACAGCATTAATATTTACTTTACGGTTTTAATAAAGCTACTTTTATAGTTGAATTTTTATCCTACTTGATTCCCTCGCTTTTCTAATTCTTATAATCTTTGAAATGATTTTTCTTATTAATATTCGAATGTCTCTATGTTAATCTGCCTACGAAAACATGCATAGAAGCAGGAAGTAGCAGATCAATTCATTTCTTGCTTTTTTTGTAAATTCATGAATTTCGAGAGTGTGGCTTTGTAATTGGCCTAAATCTATCATAGTAATTATGTCTCCTATGCATCGTGTTAACGTTCCACAAACAAACTTTTTTGATGAATATTTTGTCGTATTTACGCAAAGTCTTGGTGTATCTTTTTTCAACCTAGATTCGTTCCCCTATCGTTAACATTTCCAGGACCAGCTTTTTCCACGTTAGACGGGGAAATGTTTGGTTATGTGCTGTAAGCAGACGAAACCTTAACGCCGCGGCAGTCTTTGAGTTGCTACATGCGATTTTGGGCGTCTTCCAGCAGCATTTGGGCCGCGTTACTGAGGAGAATATTAAGAATAACTTCGTTTTAGTTTACGAGCTGCTTGATGAGGCTGTAGACTATGGTTATGCGCAAACCACAGATACCGATGTCCTTCGAAATCTCATTACGCAGGCGGCTATTCGATCTGCAAATAAAGAAGAAACTACTCAGATTACTAATCAAGTCACCGGACAGATCAGTTGGCGACGGGAAGGCATCAAGTATCGACGGAACGAACTTTTTCTTGACATCACGGAATCCGTTAACCTACTTATGTCACCTCAAGGTGGGTGTACATTTATGCTTTAATGCTGTTAATATTGATAAAGCCATAAACATACCGTTATTTCTTCTAGGACAGATCTTATCGGCTCACGTGGTCGGTAAAGTGGTTATGAAGTGTTATCTAAGTGGAATGCCTGATTGCAAATTTGGTTTCAATGACAAAATTAATTTGGACAATCGGCCGAAAAATTCCAGCACTATCGGAGGTGGGGACGAATTGTAAGTCCGGCAATATTGACTGAATTCGGGTTTCTGAATGCAAGATTTTACTACCCTGAACCCCTAACACCGCTGTTTGGATGTTGGCGCCTGAATTCACCTATTAGAAAACTTTTAACAAAGCGACTAAAGGAGCATCTTGATATGCTTTAAACTCGAATGTATTCTGAAGTTACTTAAATCTGTCTTGCACTCTGTTCGACTACAAGAATTAATCTTGGCATAGAGGTAACATCATATTCTATGTTCACTAAGCGAAACGTTCGTAACCGTAGGTGCGAGGAAACCAAATTAGGCGTTTTATTTATCTACAGTATTTTCCGTATTTACATAGGAGATTTTTACCTTTCACGTAGTATTTTTTTATTCATGCTGCGCTGTGTTATCTTAATCAAACAAGCGTATAGGTAAGTTGACAGAAAACATGCTTCATTTTCTAGTGTAAAATATAGAGTTTTTTAATTAAGAGTATTAAAAGTTAATCAGTTAAGAACATTCCCTTTTGTCTAACTAATTTCTGCCGTCGATGTAAACACTTTCAAGGTGGTTTGTTTGGAGAAAGCCGAAGCGAGCAAATCCGTGGCGCGTCCAGTTTGCATTCAGTGGTCACATTTGGCCAGAGTGAATGTGCAACATTAAAACACTCCATTTCTAAACCTTGCCTAACCTAAAGCCTTCTTATGCCCCATGACTCCGCAGACCTGCCTTTGTACGGCAGTGTTGCGCCATCGGTGTTGTGTAGTCGAACTTTTACAAATGAAAACCACGCCATAGTTCATGTGGCCCGTGTCATACGAGACATCCAGCAAGAACAAGTAGGCACCCGCGTGGATATTCCTAATTGGCCAAAAGCTGAGTAGTTGGTCTTACGCTCAACCACCCACCCACCCTCACATTCTCCAGAACGAACTCATCGAATGTACAAAAGTTTTGCTTTATTTTAAAACATTGCAGCGAGGTTAGACAGACGGAGAGAGAGAGGGCAATAATGGGGTCCGTAAGAATGATTACCAGTAGGGATTGTACCTGGGAGGACGTGGACTCGGACAGTGCGGGGGGCAGTTGTATTGGCGTCGTTTGAAAACACGCTCAATGCCCTTACCAACCCGCCTGAATCCGCGTTCGATGCTGCGGCCAATGCGCCTGAACCAGCCAGCTGGCATGAGAATATCGGTATTTGCCATGTCTCCCTCATCCTTGCTACTTGGAACAGAGCTGAACATCACTGCGTCCTCCACCGCCTCGTTGTTCGCTCGTGTTTCTTCCAATAGGGCATCTTCAAGTTCCACTGCCAAGGGCTCCTTGTCACTTAGTGCCTGCGCTTGTTGTGACAGCAGACAAATGAGGCAGAATACAAAGCAACTGTACCAGGCGAAATCGTATTTCATGCTGTCAATTGAACTGTTCTGCAATCACAAAATGCGACTTTTATACTGGTGGTAGCACGGTGCCCACGCACCGTTTATCACTTAGCGCAACACCATTCGGTAACGTGGTCTTGGCCGCTTTTGTTTCGGCATTGATTGCGTGTCTATGTGGGTGTTTAAGCATCAGGTGAAGGTAAATTGTTTAGGTTGAGGTGAAGTAGTGATGTTGGTTATGCGTGCGTCAGGGTTTCTATCGACTGAGAGACTATGGCATTGCTGCTTCGTAACGTAAGGTATGGGGTAACCTAGGTTGTGTTTGGACAACACTCGTGGGATGCGACTCTTACTTTTCTGAATTTTTCCAAGTTATTGCAAGCTCTTGCTGCGTTTGCATTTAATCTTCATCCAGTAGACCTTTCAATTACGCATCTTCAAATTCTTAAAGCTGTTTAGGGCACAGCTGATCACTAAGATTAAAATTACTTCTAAAGTGTTGGTACTAGCAATAAGGCGTTTCATAAGCAAACCTTCGGCACTAGGAACACTAGTATTTGATTATTGTGCTTCAGAAGTATTGTTTTCTTGCTGGAATTCGTGCAAAATGCAGTGCGAAATGTGCTGTTTATCAGTTGCCATCGTAAACTTTGGTTTTCCGAATGGTTATGTTGCTCACGCATACTTGTCGTTCGGTATTCAGAAACCTCGCGTTCGGTCTCTTCAAAATCCCAAAAGACTGCTGGAATATTCCTGTGTTAAATTCTTATTTTAGGCTATAAGAAAATCTGCACAAAATGCTGCACACCTTGTCTATGCGCACGAGCCTATAGGCGTAACTAGGTCCTCCATGTCTTGCGGGTTAGCAAGTGGTTGTGCCCATCGCATCGTGATGTCTCCAGATTACCGCAACTGACGACGAAGCGAGGGTCGCACCCGTCACATAAGATCTCACAACAAGACTCCAATCAACTGGCTCTTGCAGTTACGGCCGCTGCACAGCCTGTGTGCTTTGATAAGTCGGTCGATTTGAATGTGGCGTTAGCAGTAGGTTAGGAATCACTGTTCCCGTGCACGACCCACTCTCGTGTCCTAAATTGCGCTCTAACCGTCAACCCACAAATCGACCATAATTGAATCTGGACCTTGGTAGCCACCCCAATGACTTGAGTGTGCACGAGTCCAATGGCTCGTAAACTCGAAGTGTTATTCACCACCACCGCCACCACCATGCTTGACGATTGGTTGGATAGACGAGTTGAATCTAGTTCTCACTAGAACATAAGGGGGCAATTGAGTTTTGTCTGTCCAAAAACACATTATGCGGGTTAAATGGCCAATCCAGATACAACTTTGTGCAACGAAACCGCGCCACTACATTCACTACACCACTGGTGATTGCCAGCTCCTTCGGCTTTTACTCAATCGTACCGTGATGTACTTCCCAATATGACATTTAAGTAAAACCTGTGGTTTTTGGGTGCCGTGCGAATCACTTGAGCACTGCGTAGTGGGACAAACGCGCAAACCTGCTGAGCCTATGGCAACTGTGTTTCGCCCCTTTTTTACCCTTGTCTCTAGTCCATGTGGCTACATAGCATTTTCTGACCTGGCGAAAAGCAACGAAACTCACTCAGTATTCGACTTTTTTATGTCTTTCTTCCTCCAGACTGTGTACACATCTGCGCATTCAGTATCAGTAGAAATGGTCGC